ATGATCTTGACACGAGCATACAACTCGGTCGTGAAGTCGTGTCTCTGTGCCCTGAGGGACATGCTGGCTGTGAAGACTACCTGACCAACTTGGCCATCTCACTCGAGTGTCGCTTTGATCACCAAGGCAAACCTAATGACCTCGATGAGGCCATCTCTTTGTACGAGGAAGTGTTGCACCTTTGCCCTGCTGGCCACGAATATCGTGACAAGTCGCTAGACGACCTAGGGGCTGCCCTTGTCACTCGTTTCTGCAATCGCAACGACATTGATGACATCACCCGAGCTATCAGCCTCCATCGCGAGGCACTGACATTACGCCTACCTGGGCATCCATATCGTGACACCACGCTTAATAACCTTGCCCTCGCACTCCAGAAGAGATATTACAAATTGCATGTCAGTGAGGATCTTAATGAGGCCATTGATCGGTATCGCGAATCCCTTCGGGTAACGCAACATGACGATCCAGATCGCCATAGAACTCTTTACAATTTGAGCGAGGTACTCTGCTCTCGTTTCATGCAAACTCAGGAGAATGAAGTTGTGGAGGAAGCCATTACTCTTTGCCAAGAATCATTGGCGGCTCTGTCTTCACTGCACCCCGACAGGCATTTCGGCTACATGCGGCTGAAGGAGGCCTATTTGTCTCGTTACCAGATTCTACGTGACCCTGCTGATTTATCGCTTGCAGTGGAGAACTTCAGACTCGCATCAAGACATCCTACTCAAGGATTTCCAGAACGCATCATTCAGGCATATTATTGGACTGTTGTATTGGAGCAGCATGGTCATGGATCCGCTCTGGAGGCCTACTCAACATTTTTCGAGCTTCTGGATGCTCATTTGTCAACACGATCGTCGGCAACTTCACGGCGCGAAGCTGCCGCTGCCTTCCGTTATGCTAGATTGCTGCCTGTAGATGCGGCATCATGTGCCATACACCATGAAAATCCACAACACGCAGTGGAACTCTTGGAGCAGGGCCGTGGCCAGCAATGGTCGCTGGCCTCTCGACTCAAGACTCCAGTTGAAGACCTCGAGTCAGCAAATCCGACACTGGCCCACAATTATTTGGAGCTGAGCAAGCGTGTGTCCAATGCCGCCCAGAGTTCTGCGACCATCACCGACAGAGCTGCTGCTGATCGGGAAGCAACAGAGTATAGGAGACTTACAAGACAATGGGAAGCTGTAGTAGCTGAGATACGTAATCTTCAGGGGTTCTTGCGATTCCTACTCCCACCTTCGTATGAAGACCTGCAAGCGGCAGCGCGCCAGGGCCCAGTCATCATCCTCATTGCAAGTCAATACTCGTGCAGCGCTATCATCGTCCCAACGTCAGGAGACCCCCATCATGTTCCCTTGCTGTCTGTTACTCTCGCAGATCTGACCAATCTCAAAGATCGTTTCGCCAGGGCCATACGACAGGCATCTCGGATGAATCCAAGGGAGTCGAGGACGGATCTAATAGTACTATCGCGGATAATATGGGACGAGATTATGCTACCCATCGTCAACGTACTCGAGCACGTCCTGAAACTAAAGCACCGCTCTCGAATCTGGCTGTGTCCAACTGCAGCTTTCACGTCCATTCCTCTCCACGCAGCTAACCCCTTTCTAACAAAGGCAGATCGCTCTGGGAAGGAGCCATGCCTGGAAGATCTCTACATCTGCTCTTACACGCCGACACTTTCTGCTCTGGTCAGATCTAGACAGTTGATGAAGAAGCGTGTGTCTCCATCCTTCGTGACAATCGGACAAGGTCAGCCGGGTGCAGGGAAAGGCAAGGAACTCTTGGCTGTCGACAGCGAGCTTGAGCTTGTCCATAAGCTCATCCCTGCGACTGCCAACCGCACCACTATTTCAGGCGACGCAGCCACACGAGCAGGTGCACTCGAAGCTTTGCAGCAGAACACCTGGGTGCACCTGGCGTGTCATGGCAAGCAGGATCGTATGCAGCCTTATGATTCGCATTTCGTTATGAGAGACGAACACCTGACGCTGCTCGATATCATGGAGAGAGACATTCCACACGCTGAATTCGCGTTCTTATCCGCTTGTCATACCGCCGTCGGCGATGAAGAGACGCCCGACGAAGTGATTCATCTTGCAGCTGGACTCCAGTTTTCGGGGTTCAAGAGCGTCGTTAGCACGCTGTGGGAGGTCGACGATTCTGTCGCGAAACACGTCGTTGAAGCTTTCTACAAATATATGTTCAAAGACCTTAAAGATGGTGCTGTTATGGACTGTACGAAGGCGGCCTGGGCACTCAACTGTGCTACACATGCCGTGAAGACGAAAGTGCCGCTCGAGCAGAGGATGGTTTTTATTCATATTGGTGTATAATTCTATCGTATGCCTTTCACCCTGGTCTCTAGTACAATTTGTTGATCTTTCATCCCGTTGGTGTACCTGGCCCATTCTTTGATACTTGCTTTGCATTCCCTCTCGTGCCATCGTTTACTCCTTTTTTTTTTTTTGTATCCATTCATGTCCATTGAGAGAGTAACTCTATGTAGGACAGTACTTGCTAGTCTAAGGGCCCCTGTGCCCTGTCGCATCTCTGGAGTCACGAATGCCCTGATGTGAGACGTGCTCCATCAGTCCGCCGTTCCTGTCGGCCGTTTTAGACGTGCCCTCCTTCGAAGATGAGATGACTATAATTATACTTGCGGTGGTGTGTCTTTTCAGTAAAGTATTTATGGCTATGCGCGAGCTCGACCGCGAGTGCGGAGGTATAAGAATTCTGTGGAGAGAGGTATGAGTAGTGAGGCTTGGGGTTGGTGGTTGGCCTCTATGTTCTCATGTGGTCTGGTCTGTGGGGGTGGGAATTCTTGGTGGTAAGTGTGGGAGGGAGGGGGTTTATTAGGTGTCGGTGGTGTAAGGTGGGGATTATAGGTGCTGAATGGTATGAGGTAGGAGTGATGGTGAGGCATAGTTTTGTGGCATTGTATAGATGTTCATAGGTGTTCATGGGTGGGATTGGGTCTGGCATGGGTCGGGCATATATCTGACTTGATGGTTTATCAGCTTGATAGGTTAGGATGGTAGTGGGACTTCACTGAATGTAGATTTCAGTCTATGGGTAGCATTCACATATCTTGCTAGGTGGAAGATGGTGTTGTTATCTGTTAGGAGGAAGGACAGGGAGGAAGCTTTGTGTCCAAGGGAGGTTCTGAGCTGGTGGTGGTTGTGGTGGTACTTGTCATATCCGCATATCCAGATCTCAGATCCGACCCTTATCTCACCTCAGATCCACATCTTATCTCCAATCCTATCCACATCTTATCCCCCTCCAACATCTTGTCATTCAATCTGTCCACTCATCTGGTCCAGTCCACAACTCATCTGAATCCACAACCAGCACTCGTCTCTTTTTGGTAACCCCCTAAACTCCGGTATTTCGGTTATCTGTATATCCGTCCTGCTCCCTTATCCGCTACCTATGTTTCATTTCCGTTTCATGATTTGTGATCCATTTCTACTTACCAATAGACTATCCACATGCTTCATACATAGCCTCAGACTCTGCTGATTGATCATTCCATTAGATACCTATAGTATATAACCTCCTGTAACTTTCTGTAGTACCTCAGTTCGAATATCATCTTAGTTCTGCTCATTCCTGTCTTCCGGACTTGAGTATCTCTACTCTTGTCACCCTCTGAGACTTAGGATTGATTCCTATAGTCTATCCATATCTGCCTCTGTCTCTGACAGTCCATTACCGTTAGTTTCTAGTCTGGACTCATCTGGATTAGCCCTACAATACTTAACCCTCATCCGGAAGTCGTCTGGATCCACTACGCTACTCGTCCGACCTTCTGGACGCACTAGTCTTGCCTTCCTGAAATAAGGGGCAATACTCGGGTAAGGGGCACAGTGCATGAGCTGAGGCCAAAGCCCTTTGGATCCAGTTACCCTTTGAGTATGACCTTAACAGTACTGTGGACATTGGATTAGGAAGTGGTGTATGGTTTCTGGGGATTGTGGGTAGTGTGGGCAGTGCGGGGTTGTCGATTTTCCTAGTTGATGGAGGTGCTTATTGAGGGGTATATGTTGGGTGTGGAGGTTCATTAGGAGGCTAGTGAGGTGTCTAGGGTAAGATGATGTGAGCTTGATGAAGGAGTGGCAGAGGATGTTAGGGTCGAGTTGATTGGTGCATTGGTATCTGAGTGAGTTCTGCCAAGATTTGGTCCAGTGGTCATGGGTGGATTGTCAATGGTTCTGAAGGAGGGCAGATATGCTGAGGGGGAGGGGACTGTTATGGAGGAATTCAGGGAGGAGTTGAGGTGGGCTGCTGTTGTTTCTTCCTTCAGCTGCTTTCTTTGCTGCCTTGTCTACTTCTTTGTTCCTGTGTATTCCTTTGTGGCCTGGGACCCATCTGATTGTGATATTGAGGAGTGGGTGTTCACATGCTAGTCCTCATATCATTCATCTAAATTTGTCTGCTAAGTATGAACCTGGGCGTGATATTGTGCTCTCACTGGATCTAATGGCTGCCTGGTTGTCTATTAGGATGGATGTTGGGAAGATGGGATCCTCTTCAGTTGTGAGTAGGTGGGCCACGAGGACTAGACCTATTTCCTCAGCTTTGAAGATGGTGTGCTGCTTATCTGCTTTGAGGTAATATTTGAGGGTCCGTGGGGAGTTCCCTGCTCAGAATAATATAGCTGCTGCTCCTATGTTGCCATTGTGGCCGGATTTATCACAGTAGATTTGAATCTTGTCAGGTAGGCTTTTGCTTTCCTCTATTGCGGTCTTCCAGTCTGCAACTATATGGCTCTTGAAGGGGAGGCAGTTTGTCGGGGGGTGTCTATCTTGGTTGAGGGATTCAATGTCATCTGGATGGATAGAATAGAAATTGGTGAGTTTGTGGAGTGAAGAGCGATGAGAGGAAACAAAATGCTTAGTGGCTTTTCTGATGGGGAAGTGGAGTGGGTGGGACTTCGGATGCACAGTGAGACATAGGACAGCATGATAGCATATGTTCTGTAGGAGCAAGGGGATTGGGAGAAGGTTAGTGTGAGCTTCTACTATGTCTGTAGCAGTGCTTCTCATGGCTCCTGTCATTGCTAGTGCTGCGATATGTTGAACAGTGGATAGTTTGCATGCTACTCCTAGTGACCCACATTGGAGTGAGTCAGAGTTGGTTCAGTAGGCAGGTATAAACCAGAGATCAGTGTAGTGATGTGTGGGCCCAGCTTGGCCTGAAAGCCCTGGCTTAGGCCTGGTTTGGGGGGGCTTGGGCTTTCAAAAATCTCAGGCCGAGCCATGGGCCAAGGCCAGGCCAAAGCTGCGGCTCGGCCTGGGCTCATTCACAGCTTTCAAGCATGAAATGAGTCAGAATTCAATATAAATATATTGGCAACTAGTCATCATCTACTGAATCAGCATCAGAGTCTGACATGTTATCATCATCACCTAAAATCAATGTATCCCACCCCTTGTCATCTGCCAGTTCGACTTCTAACACCTCAGTCTTGTGTTCGGAGTCTTCAGTCTCTTCTTCTGCAAGAGATGACGGACCAGGCTCCCGGAATAGAAGATTGTTACAGAGAGAACACTTAACACATTGCAGGGCCTCGACAATATCTCCTTTCAACCAATTATGCCGCTTGCTGATGGTGATCCTGCCTTGTGAGAAAGCTCACTCACTTGAGACAGATGCGGCCATAATGGATAGGTAATCTCTTGCCAGTGAAGCCCACACTGGATATCTCTGGGTGTTGATCTTAATAGAAATGGCAGTCAGTGGCAAGCAACCTCGAAGCAGGTGAAATTTACTTACACCCCACCACTGAATCGTAGTCATACCTGCTGATGGAACCGCCTCAATAGTCTCAATGTAGCTCATGAATTCGGCCCTCCATGGTTTTGACGGATCACCAGCAGACAAGGCACCTGGTTCTGGCTCAGAGTCATCTTTGGAGTCACTCTGAACCTCCTGAATGAGTTTCTTGAGGCCACCAACCTTGCTTTTCATAGTTGTGGGCTGCGACGATGCTGGATTTTGATGTTGCTCATCGTAGCGCTGTTTGAACATGGTCTCGACGCAAGTAAGCATATCATCAAGCAAGTTTGATGGCCAGTGCTTTTTGAAGTATGCGAGTTTTGCTGTCGGATCAAGTACTATGATATCAAATGTCAGAGTCGCATTGACTGAAACAGAGAATGATGAACCCATTGCAATGATGTAGGCTGGGGAGTCCGTAGTTTTCTCATAATACTCATCTAGTTTTGTTGCTGCTGCTTTCAGTGCACTAGCGAACCGAGCATACTTAGGCCTTGCAGCTCATGAAGACCAAGATTTGTGAAGCATCTCGAGGGCAGGTATTGCAAGATGGAGAGTCAATCCTTGATCAGATGAGAAAGCTTGCTGGGCAACATCGGCATATGAAAGAAGGTCCGCGAATTGACCAACCCATGTCCATTCAGGAGCTGACAGTTGCAGAAAGTTGATTTTGGCACATTTTTTAAGACTGTGCTCTTGACGCCCTATTTCATACACAAATGTATCAACATGCTACAGTGAGAAAGAGTAAGATAACAAAGTATGATGATATATCAAACGCGCACCTTCTTGAAGCATGCTTTGCAGCTTCTGCTGCACGAAATGCATTGATGGCTTTGGTTCAAAATGGGAGAGCTGCCTGCTCAGAATGCTCAAGGAGCGCAGTAGAGGGCTTGATTTTGCGTACTGGATGCACTAGTCAAGGCTTGTCATCACTATCTGAAAGGACGGTTCCAACCATTAGAATTGAGGATTTGTGAGTAGGATAGCGACATACTATTGTAGCTTTTATCTCAATGGAACTATCAAGATTGCGATGGCAGAAAGTGGCATATCACACACCTAAGTAACATGGATCCAAGTATCATCAAGCTTGCAAAGCAGGAGAAAGGGCAACTCGCATTTTTTGACATATGCTGTCTTAAGCATCTGTTGGATTCACAGAAGGTTAGCAGCGGTTAGATGAAAATAGATATAGCGGCTGCCTGAAGATGGATATTGTTGGTAGTGGTTGTACCTGACATCCAGATGAGTCCACAGATAATTCTAGAGGAAGTAGCATGGATAATTTCAGTAGTCTCAAGGGCTTGTTTAAAGAACTGTCAGAGCAATAAGTGTCAAGATTTTGCAGTATGTAAATGTTCAAAGGCTTGTTTGAGGACTGTTGAAGTGATGATTGAGCTTGTTGAGATATGGGTTTGACTCAGACAAAGATTCAAAAAGATAGTTTGCACCATTGTGGTCAGAGTGATAAGTTAATAATGGTGCTTGTTGTCTCAGATATGAGCGCGCCACCTGAGTGAAAGCCACAGCTTGAGCTGCCAGCTCCAGCTTTTCGATTCCCCAAGCTGAGCCCTAAGCCATGGTCAGGCCCTGACTTGGGCCTGGCTTGGCTTGGCCCAATTAGGGCTGGCTTTGGCCGGCCTGTAGCTTGAAGCCAGGCCATGCACATCACTAGATCGGTGGCATATAACATTTTGGGAACCACTACTGCTTGGTATAGTTGATGCATAAGTTGTAGTGGGATCCCTTTGGTTGTGGTGCCAAGCCTCCAAAGTTGGAATACATATGCCGTTCCTTTCACAATGGTGTTGTTCACTTGGGGTTTCCAACGAAGTTCCTGGTCTAGTAATACTCCTAGAAAGCAGTGAGTAGTTGAGGGCTTGATTAGGTTTCCTTGGATGTTCATGTTTGGTCATTCCTTGGTGCGGTTCATTGAAAAATCTATAAGGGTGAATTTGTTAGTTTTGAAGCGTGAATTATGAATCTTAGACCAGTTGAAACCACCTCCTGGGCATTCTAGCATATCTTGAAGGATGTGGTGGGTGGTGTGAAAATCCTTTGCTATGGCTATAAAGGCTGTATTGCCAATGAATGTAAGTGTTAGTTCCTCTAATGCTGTTCTACTTTTCCAGGGTTTGGCAACTTCTACTAGGTCAGCGTTATATATGATATATAGTACCATGGAAAGTGGGTCTCCTTGACTGATGCCATTGTCAATGGGAATCCAGTCTGACATGAAGCCATCAAAGTGCAGTCATGTCTTTCTGTCTGTTAGGACTCACTCTGTGAATTCAATGAGTGCAGTTGGGAGTCTTCTCATACACATATTGTGCAGTAGCCTCTTCATTACAGTGTTTTGGAAGGCACCTTCAATATCTAGAAAGAGCACCAAAGCTACTTTACCAGTTCTCCAGGTGTTTTTGATGGTGTCTTCTAGGAGATGGAGTGAATCTGTTGTTGATCTCCCTGGGCGACCTCCAAAGTGCATGTTGGGGAGTAGCTTGTGGTGTTTGAGTAGGTACATGAGTTGTTCTGTGATGACAGCCATGAGAAGTTTGCTGGTGGTGTTCAATAGGGCTATGGGGCAGTATGCTTTTGGCATGGAGTAATTGGGCTTTCCTGGTTTCTGTATGACCACCATAGTGAATTGGCGCCACCCATCATAATAGGTCTGATGAGTGAAGGTGGTGTTGAAGAGGTTGAGGAGGTATGGTGTGAGTATGGAACTGCACTTCTTGAAAATGATGTTGCAGATCCCATCAGGACCTGGAGCCTTGTAGCCACTTAGCTTGTTGATTGCCCTGAGGAGTTGGTCCTTGGTGATGGGACAGTGCGGGGTGATGGGATCTGGATAAATTTGGTCAGTGGGGACAGAATCAGTTAAAGGAGGGGGTGGAAATAGAGCCTCAGCAATCATAGTGCCTTTTTCGGTGTTCATTATTGCTTCTTTGATACTACCATCTGCATTTGTCTTGATGAGGGTTGGTATGCATGATTTCCCTCTGTCACTGGGGGTTGAGGTGAGGTACCAGTTTGCTGTCCAGAGGTCATTTCCTTCGAGGTTTTCTAACCAGTCTACCCAGTGTTGTTTCTTCATGTTGGCTATTTCTTGAGCATAGTGGTGTTTGGTGTTTTTCAGTTTGTTGTGGCATAGGTGCATTGGTAGGGCATGCATCTGGTATGCTTGACAATGTAGCTGGTTGACTTGATGCCAGAGGGTAGAGAGGTCATGGGTCCACCATCGTTTGGAGTGGGGGCAGGGTTTGGTGTGAGGGACACATAAGTTGATGGTATCCATGATTGCTTTTGTGAGCTTCTGCACTGTGACCTGAAATTCATCGTTAGAGGCTATGGGGGCAATAGGGAGTGAGGAAAGGAGTGTCTTAAGAGATTCATTAAATTTTTCCCAGTCTACATCTCTCCAGTTGCATCTCAGGGTTTTGTCAGTCTTTGGAGTTTCTAGTTCCAGGGATATGGTGATTTGGATGTGGTCGGTGCACAGTCCTTGTAGGGAGGGAGCTGTGGTGCATTCAAGGAGGGCCTCATTGGTATGTTCCATCCTGAAGACATTGTCCAGCCTTGTCCAATTACCGGTGCTTGAGGACTGAAGAGTGGGGGTACCTAGGGGGAGGAATTGGATCATTCCATAGTCAGCTATTAGATCAATGGGAGGTTGAGTGAAAGGATAGTTAAATAGGTGTTGGTTTCTCACTTCTTCCCATAAGAGATGATGACAGTTAAAGTCGCCAAGCCATAATACATGGTTGTTAACGGTAGGATGTATGGTGGTAATGTTCCTTGTGAGAAAGTCGGCTAGGGTAATGAGCGTGTCTTGTTTCTGGCAGTCATTATATATGTTGATTAAGGTACATGTTCCATAGGGGCCTGTTAGTTGTACAATGACAGTGTCAGAGGAAGGGAATGATACTTGTTTCCATGAGTTGGTGTTGAGAGAGGTGTTCATGAGGATGACAGTATGGGTTCAGTTTTGAGGGTGGGAGTGGTGGTGAGTTGGGTATAGGACATGCCATCTGTGGTTGGCTTGGGTGTTGCAGAGAAAATTGATGTGAGGTTCCTGGATTGCAATTATGTCGTATTTGGTTATCATGCGGCCATTGAGTAGTGATTCTTGTGCAGCTAAGGATGTGTTGAGGTTTTGTTGCCAGATTTTCAAACTAACAGTGCGTGTGTCTTGATGTTCAGACATTAGATAATGGGTTGAGGGGTGTGTTGTCAATGTCCAGGTCTTTGTTTTGAAGGAGGGAGAAGAAGTTGGTTTTGGTGGATAGAGCTGGGGAGTGGGTGGGACATTGGGATTGGGGTTGGGATTGGAAGTTGAGGGTGCTTTGTTGGAAGGTTCTAGGGTTGCGTGGTCTGGAGGTGTGGTGTTGCAGTGTGGAGGGAGAGGGAGTTGGTGATCTGGGTTTGGATCTTGAGGGGTGTATGACTTGGGTCCAGTTGAGTTCCATTGGGAAATATGTATGGCATTCGGTTTTTGGGGAATTTGTCATCCAGTTTGGCACATTACTGTTTGAATATGGGGCATGATCGGCTCCAACTTGCATGGTTCTGGGTTCTGCAGTTGATGCAGCATTTGGTTTGGTAGGCATGCATGAGGATGTGTGGTGAGAGTTGCCACAGGTTGCACAAGTGTCAGCAGGTGCATTACAGTTTCGTGCTATGTGGCCAAACTTCTGGCATTTCACACAGTGAATGGGTTCTTTCTTGTCTTTGTATACTGGAATATGTTTGTTAGCGATGTAAATGCCCTCTTTGAGAATGGAATTAGCTGTGTGGATGTCCTTAAAATGTATCATGGTGAATGCCTTTCTTTGTTCTGTTGACTGGCGTTGGGGGGGGCTTGATCCAGCACATGGATACTATGGAGTTCTCTGGGATGTTGTTGTCTGCCTCTGTCTTGCATAGGAGGTTTTCATCCTCGAGGTGGAGGTTGATTGGGAGGTATTGGGCCATGATCAAGAAAGTTTGCATTCAGATGGATGCTGAGAGTCCTAGATATTCTGTTAGTGCATTCTTACCTGGGGGGGCATGGAGCCAGTTTGCAAGGCTTTCATTGTCAAGTTCCATGATGATGCCACTGTTGCAAAGAGGGAGGATTGCCTTGGTGTTGCTGGTCAGGGTGTCATCTTGTCTGATATGGGTGATGGCCTCTCCTAGTTTCACTGCTATGTCAGAGCTGGAGGAGTTATGTAGGTGGAAACAGTTGGGCGCCTGGATTGGGGTCTAGCAGGATTTGGCATGCTCTGATAGCTGCTCTGGCAATCACTTGGTCTACCATGGGTGGAAGATGGGCTGCCATGATTGAGTTGTATGAAGGCCAGGTCATTGCTAGCTGTTGGGTGAGGGTGGAGAGGGTTTTCGAATTGAGGTCTTCAACTTGAGATTGCAGTGAGTTGATGGATGGTGTTATCACTTTGATTGCATTCTTGATGTCTGCAATGCTACTGTAGACTCTGTCTGCTGCTTCTTCTACTCTCTTGATCGTTTGTTGCAGGACTGGAATCTTGTTAGTCCTCTTGGTGTGGGCTCCAGCTAGCTTTTTGAGGCGATTGATGGGTTCTTCAAAGAGGGCATTGATGCTGTTGGCTAGAATGTTGGCTTTCCTGTCATGGTCAGTCTTGAAGAGGAGGATGGCTATGGCTCTGAGGACATCCATGTGCATGGGGGTTAGGGAGTGGGCCTGGACAGAGAAGTCTAGTAGAGCTGTGGTCAGGGAGTCTAGCATGACTTCTGCTGCTGGGGTCAAGAGGAGCTTCTTTTCAAGTTCTGCGTGCGCCGTGTTCTTGTCTTTGACAGATGATTGGGTTGCTGGGTCATTTATGAGGTTGGGGATGGATCTGTTGGAAGGGCAAAAGGTGTTAGCATTATGTTTGGGTCTAGTATTGGGTGCTCTGGAGCCTTGGGTATCTTCTGGTTCTTCAGTTGTCATTATTAAAAAATTTTAGTTAGTTCTAGTAGGGGAGGAAAAAAGTAAAGAAATGGAAAAAAGGGTGAGAGGTAGGGTGTTGCCACCTGTGTGCACCATTGGGTGTGATGTTGAAGTTGTTGTGTTTCGGGGTCCTAGTCAGGGTGCCACTTGGTTGTGGTCCAAGAAGTGATATTGTTTACTCTTAGAAGTGTCTTTTGTAACTTAATACATTGTTCAAGTATTTGAAGTAAGTCTTTCATACATGTTGTCACTGAGGGAAACATGTCAGGATGCAGGGAGAGCACTAGTCCGTGTTGCTGGTCTCAAGTTCTTTGATCATTGGCTTGATCTGCATGCTGGTTCAGCCATAATTTTGAATGAATGTCTCTTTCTTCCATTTGATGGGCCTCAGGAGACTACTACACCACTGTCGCTTGATTGTGGCCCTCAAACCACCTCGAAGTCCTTCTCCATGAGCTCTGAATTCAGTGTTTCTGATCATGAAATCCTGATGGCATCATTCTGTCTGAAACAACTACCATAAGATGCAGCAAGATCAAATAGCATCATTACTGACTGTGATGACTAGTGTGCCTTGATTGACAGTGCAAAACAACATGGTGATAAGCCCAAGATCATGTGTTAAGTGCTCGCCACAAGAGAGATGTAGCTTGATGTCTGAGTGGCATATCTGCCACCCTTATTGACGCCATTCATGGAGGAAAACCTGACATTGGCATTGAGCAAGATACATGCACATCAATGAGAAGTGAAACTGACCAAGGAATTGGAGTTTTGGAGCTACCCTTCAATTTTCAACTGAATTTCCCATGTCACAAAAACAATCCCATCTACAAAACCCCCATGTATTTCCTGCATTTGATTCATAGGATACAAAAAAGGGGTATGACAACAAATGTGAGCAGTGATGGCACCAACTATGAACTGTCTGTTCAATAGTCGATCTTTCATGCAGTCCTCCCCATGATAATTTGCAGTGGTTGTAACCTTCAAAGGACTACAAATTGCAGCTAGATAGGCAAATGAAGGAGCACCGACTGAATGTATACATAATCTGGCCTTAAATAACAAGCAATGTCAGGAAGGGATCGAGCTCAATTCCAAGTCGCACCAATAATAATGGCAATGTGACATCATTCTATACACTGGTTTGTAGTGGGATAGACTTTGACCAAAGGGGTTAGCACACAACACCTGTGAGGAGGTACCAAATCAACATACCTTTGAACCACAAAAAAGGTGGTTTCTAATTTCAATTGCATCAGAAGAAGACTAGTCCAATGTTGACTGATCTGATGAGTTATTGCAACCCAAACATTAGGTCAGGGTATCAGGCCTAAGAAAGGACTGATCACATATTGTATGGACTAACATATCCTTGACTTCATCTACAAGGTTTTGTGCTGGGCACAAGCTAGAAATATAATCTTAATGTGTCCTCCATCATATGTTAGTTTACCTATATACAAATTCCATTAGGAATGGGATAGTGGGCCAAATAATGGTGTGCGAACCTTCACCGGGACTCCAAGTCCATCTGGGACACAACACTGACAGTAACTTAGTACTTGGTTGGTGACTTCAAGAACTTCATTGATCATAGGCTGCTTTGGCAAACACCAAAAGCAAATACTAAGATAATGTGATTACCTCAACCCTGGTCAAATACACTGGTGAGTAAGTTAGATTTCTATGATTTGTACCTATCTTGTTGATTTTCATTGGGTCACTGAGCAACGTCCTAGTCTCAGACATCGAGTTGAAATTATCTACTCCAGATGCAATCCAGATCTGCAAAAATTCTTTACTGAAAACCTTTGAAAATATTCTCTCTCCATTGTCCAATGACTGAGACTCTGTTCAAACTTCGCGAACCATCATTGAACAGGAGAACTTCATATCATTTTGTGCAATATGCCTTGGAATTGACAATGCCCATTATCATCAGATTTGGCCACTTATCATCCACCAGAACATATCTTACACCCAAGTTTCCAGTCCTGGCTTACTATATATGCCTATAGATTGATGGCCAATGGGCCATGCAGTGACCTGCATATTGGACAAAAAGGCTCAACACAGATCCATGTGTGAGGGTATCCAAGTTATCCAAGCCACGAGGCATCTTGTAGGTGTTCTCGTGTGCTTCTTATAAGCTCCTGCTTTTAACCCACATCCCCAGATCATCCAACCTCAGAGCTCTTGATAAACTTACACCATATATCACAAATCAAGGCTACTTGACATGTCTGTTGCCTCAGAATCCTCCCAGACTGATGTCTTGGAGTATATTATCACCCACATATTCTGTTCCATCAAATTACCGCAACACAGCAATTATACTCTCAACAATGATGGCTCCCTCCTTAATGTCATACTAGGCTCAGCTCGCAAATTTGTGAGTTCATTGCCCGACCACGATCAGGAGCAGTGGAGTCCTTTGTTGAAGATGCTGGAGAATCTTGCTGTTATGATGACTTCTCCTTCCCTGACTGGGGAGGTTGTTGAGTCACAAGTCAAATCCATGCAAGCAGGAGGTATGTATGTAGTGTTGGCACCAAAAATTGACATATCAAAATTTCTCCATAGATATTCTTGCATATCTGATTCAGGAACAAAATGCTGCTGTAGTACTTCATAGGCTTGACACAAAAACCATCTTTGAATCCTTCGAAGTTTCACCACCTGCATATGCTGTCATGGAGGCAAAGGGGAAGCTCCTGTGTTCATATCCAGGACCCACAATTGCCATATCCAACTCAGTGGTGGATAACCCTACCTTTCCTCCTGAATTTGGGAACTTTCTCTTGCACATGAGCTCTGATGGGTTAGATCCCTCAGTTCGCAAAGGAGAGACTGTACATCCTTGCTATATCACCCAGCTTCTCACTGATATCCTTTACGCGTTTGGTGAGCCAGCTGATGTCCCTTGTATTTGAAAATGTATATGTGATGATGTATTATGGTCCAACACCCCATTCCCTTGGTGAAGATCATCCATATGGCTTGTCATAAGGATTGTATTGCAGAGATCTCTCGAGCACACAAGCCTTGGATGAAATGGTTGCAAGGCTTTCATGGCTTCTCTCATGACCAACCTTGTGTCTGAAGTGCTTGAGGGGGATATATCAAGCAATCTGCTCTACTCCATGTCCATTAAAAATCAGTTGCCGGTTGGTCAAGCTTTAGGCTGAAGATGAATTCTTAGCAATTGTGATGCACAAAGCTATGGAAGATATCAAGGACCGACTGGAGCTGCACTGGAAGAATGTTCAGGCAGTGCAGGTGGATTCCCCTCATTGGGATGCCTCGGAGGTACATATACATATGTTGATGGCTCGCCTATTGGTTGACGGCTCGCCATTGACCAGGCTGCCAGATTGCTTTTTGTGGCATCCTAGTTATATCACCCTCTTCAGTCATGTGAGTTTCTGCCTTGGTTGTCAACCAGTTGTCTCACATCACCAAGTAGCAAGTGTTTGATGTTTTCCCCACAAAGATTCCTGGCATGAAATTTGTTGCTAAGGCCATCATACATCACTTTAAAGTGAGTTCATACAGTCCAACTTGAAGGATGGGGGCCAAAATTTAGCTGTTCTCCTACAGATATTTTTTGGGATGTGCAGTGGGGACATTGTCATTCAGTCACAACATGAGGATGGGGACCTCCTTGAGCTGATACATCCAGGGAATCTTGAACTGGACATCCCTGCATTACTAGTCCAAGATCACATACATTGGCTTAACCTACACACTCATGCGATCAAATTTCATCCAATAGAGAGACTGTGGGAGCCTTCTGGTGAGAACTGGCTATTGCAATTCATGGAGGATGGGCAGTCAGCTGCACAGCAGGGACCAGCAACTTTGTTTGACATTTGGAGTCACACTTTTGGCATGATAGCAAATACACTAGGCCCACTCGAAAACTCCCAATACCTAATTGTCACTAGCAGTGTGGATGAAGTCAAGGTTGAACTCCCTTGGTTTGGACTCTCTTTCTTTATAGACAAAGATGGAGAATTGCATTTGCAGAACCAGAGGGGCATGGTTGTCAACAAAGATCAATCCACTGGTACAATGCTTGGACTTGTTAACCAGCTTGTTTTGCACCCAAAAGATCAACAGACTTATGGTGATCGTTGTGTCATCATCCCCCAGGGGAATGTGGTAGTAGAGCCCAGTGGTCATCATATCCAGGTCACCATCCATGCTGGTCCTAATCATGTTCATCATCCCTACCACTGTTACACCATTGACACAGAACTCTGCCGCCTGATGGGAAATGTTGGTCTTACAAATAAACTTTACAAGGCATACTTGCACGCTGTGTGCAGTACCCATGTTCCAGATCTGTTGACTCAATGTACTGGTTTGGAAGAAGCCATGTATTTGCTGCAATCTGCCACATGTTTTTCCTTCATGAAGCTGGACCCATTTGACTGTGAGCTTCTAGCTCAGATAGGTTCCTTGACTGTTGATTGGACATGGTCCAGCAGCAGATCACAGGAGGTCCACTGGCAATGTGGTTTATCATCTTATGTCCAAAGTTGCACATTCTACCATGCTGCTAGGGACATAGTCCAATATGCACAGAAACTGCAGGTGCTCAGTGAAACACCAGTTCCAGTTTGTCCAGATTTTCCAACACACGAGTCCCTCCTGGAATGCGCCTCTCAGCAGTCCACTTTCCTTTACTCCTATGATCCAGTCAACTCCTTCTATCCCAGCAAATCATCAAGCAGTGAATATACTTCCAGGGATGTTTACTGATCCTCAATCAATGATCAAAAAGTGCTTAATTGTGCATGCATGGTGCGCAACTGGAGTGTCACACTTGAACCTTGCCAGGTGCTCCATGATGTCTTCATTCAGTGGAGTGAAGTTTCTGGGGAAACTCACAACATATCCCTTTGATATGACTGAGAGTGGTTGAAGCCTGATTTGGCCAAGAGATGGATGTCTGTCTATGAACTTTGCTGCAATGCAGACCAGGAGAC